TATATTTTCAAAGTCTTATTCAATGAAAAGTTCTTGTTGTTTCTCCATGTGTAGTGAGTAGTTTTCTTCATTCTTCCCTCTTGTAATGAATTAATATGCATGTGTAGGATATAAAATTGAGTAGAGTGAGAATATATTGTGATGGTTTTACTTTGTTCTTCATTTACATGTAAACTTGATCAACTTGCATGTTAAAATCTGTTGTGAGAACATGTAATATCCGGGATGGTGTTGTCTCAATCAACTGTGGTAGAATCACATGAGATTGTATGAATGAGAATGTAGTGGACAACGTCTATTTGTTCATCACATGAGATTGTATATATATATATGAACTCAATATCATAACAATAAAAAAGAATAAATTAAAATCAAAATCAAAATCAAAATTGCAAACTTCAATTTCGACCTCGTGATATACCAAAAATATATGCATTTTTAGACCCATATTTTATACTCATTTTTTTAAATATCGCACTTTAATGGAATGTATTTTTCATGTTTTCTTGCATGTTGTTGATTTTTAGGACTTGGAGCAAAAAAGATGAAAGTTGGAGTCAAATTAGAGAATATGAAAATTTATTCAACGCTAGACTGGGCGCTGACGACACCATTTGACAGAGAGCAGCAAATTAAATAGATGACCAATGGCGCTGACGGTGTCAGTGTCGGTGCAGACCCTGTTTCTATAAGACTAGACAAATTTGGATGCTTTTTGAAAAGTTTTTGGATGCACCTAATGGAGAATTAACTCTAGACTTTATTTGGGGCCGAAATTGATTAGAAAAGTGACTCGTCTTGACTTCTCATCGCCCAAAATTCAACCTCCTATGCACCATACACTCTTCTATTTCATTCAACAACCATTTAAAGTCCATTATTCTTATAATTTTGAGTTTTTGTGGTAAGATTAAGTGTGAATTCTTCTCTAAGAGTTGTTGGAGATGGAGAAAAGTGAGAGATTTCTTCTTTCTACATTTTCTAGGAGAGGCTACAAGGGATTTGCTTTGAGAAAGAGTTTCAGGTAAATGTTGTTTGTTCAATAGTGTTGTATGAACTTTCTTTTATATATGAAATTTGTGTTTTGTTGTATCTTTCTCATGAAGTTTGAGTAGTTTCCTTTAACTTTCTCCCTACTCTGAGATATGGTGAAATGAAGAGATAATATAGATGTACCAATGAATCTGGCTAATTGAATTGTTAAAATTTGTTGTGAAACATATAATCCGGGAAATGAAGTATGAGTTCTACAACAGAGTGAGGATCACATTTGATTCCATGAAGGAGAATTTCGTTCATGACATTAAGTGCAAATAAATGGAAAAATATTCATTGTTGGGTGTAGAATTGAAGATTTTAGGGTGACAGACTAAAAATCCCCAATTCGGTCTTAGTGTTTAAGAATTAAAGCGAGAGTTAGCCTTCAGGGAAATGGAAGTGGATGGAAGTGGGAGCTCTGGAGTGAGTGGGAGCTCTGGAGTGGGAGTTAGTATTCTCCTAGCACAGCCACAGATTTAGGGACTAAACCTGAGATTAACCAATGATTTTCTATAACACTGTATCAGGTTAGAAAATTAAAACTACTCTTATTTGGCACAATACATATTCTAACCATTTATCTCATCTCATTTTACCAAAATTTCATTGTAGTGGGAAATATGCTTTTTCACATATGAAATATTCATCACATAAACATAATTTAATAGTTTAGTAGTTACTGTTTAAACTTTGCATTTCAGTTTTGCTAGTGGTTAAATAATTTAGTTTCTGATAATATCTCAACATTCAAAATTAGTGATAGTAATTTTGTTTTACTTTATGTGAATTTCCTAGTTAATTTATCATTTCAAATTTAAACCTTCCTCGTGGGATCGATATTTGGGTCTTAAATAGAAAATCCTTTATTACTTGATAATGATACGTATACTTCCATAGAATCCCAACATTAATTGCTTAAATTTCTTAATTATATATAGAGCATCAAGTTTTTAGTGTTGTTACATAGCGGAGTTCTTTTTATAATTTTTACACAACTATATTACCTCGGGATCACCTGACCAAGTTGAGTTTTCTTGACCTATCACCAGCGTCACTTCTCTCGACTCGAAGTTTCCTTCCATAGGGACTTTGGGCCATTTTTCTTGTGAGGAAGAGGCTAGTTGGTTCCATCTATGTAGAACTACACTCTTCACTGTCTTTCACCACTTTTGTATGAAGGATGACAGTTTATTTGATATGGGACCGCATCTCCTCTTGCATTGCTATAGGAGCCCTTCCTATCGCAATGATTCACACTATATTTTAGAGGTTGAGGATCATGACATTCGATGCCGCATTGCTTTAGGATCCCCTCATATCACAATGGTTCATATCATATTTTAGAGGTTGAGGATCACTGCATCCGATACCACATTGCTTTAGGAGTCCATCTTATTGCAATGGTTCATATCATATTTTAGAGGTTGAAGATCATTACATCTGATATCACATTGCTGTAGGAGTCCATCCTATTGCAAAGGTTCATATCATATTTTAGAGATTGAGAATCACTGCATCTGATACCACATTGCTTTAGGAGTCCATCATATTGTAATGGTTCATATCATATTTTAGAGGGTGAGGATCACAACATCCGATACCACATTGCTTTAGGAGCCCCTCCTATTGCAATGATTCATATCATATTTTAGAGGTTGAAAATCACTGCATCCAATACCGCATTGCTTTTAGGAGTCCATCCTATCACAATGGTTCAATTAATATTTTAGAGGTTGATGATCACTGCATTCGATACCACGTTGCTTTAGAAGCTCATCATATCGCAATGGTTCATATCATTTTTTAGAGGTTGAGGATCACAACATCTGATATTGCATTTCTTTAGGAGCTCATCTTATTGCAATAGTTTATATCATATTTTATAGGTTGAGGATCATTGCATCCGATACTGCATTGCTATAGGAGTCCATCCTATTGCAATGGTTCATATCATATTTTAGAGGGATCACAACATCTGATGCCACATTGCTTTAGGAGTCCATCCTATTGTAATGGTTCACAACATATTTTAAAGGTTGAGGATCACAACATCCGATACCGCATTGCTTTAAGAGTCCCTCCTATCATAATGGTTCATATCATATTTTAGAGGCTGAAGATCACTGCAACCGATACCACATTGCTTTAGGAGCCCTTCCTATCACAATTGTTCATATCATATTTTAGAGGTTGATGATCACAACATCTGACATCGCATTGCTATCACAATGGTTTATATCATATTTTAGAGGTTGAGTATCAATGCATCCAACACCGTATTGCTTTAGGAGCCCATCCTATTGTAATTGTGCATATCATATCTTAGAGGTTGAGGAGTAGGCCCTCAGTTTGAATCGAGGCTTCCGATTTCGCATTGTCGTAGGATTCCATCCTATCGCAATGGTCTCAATCAAATTAAACACAAGAAACTAAACAAACTAAATCGACATGCAAATTTGAAAGTTCAAACTCACAATTACAAGTTGAAAATACACATGTTAATCCCCATTAGAAACTTAACTTCACTTCGATTCAATTTCAACTCTTGATATTGATATTTTCACATTCTCTTGGTGGTTCTTTTGATCACTTCAGTCAACGCCAATAGGTGTGGCGTACTAGCGCAACCCACCACACCTATTGGGGGCCCATTTGTTAACATCATTTTTGGTGAGGTCCCTCCTTCTCCTTAAGAGCTTAGGGTCTAGACTTAGGACTTTCTGTTGGGCTTTCTTAGAGGACTAGTTTGGGGCCTGCACTGACTAGAAATTTGAGCCACTTCTTGACTCCTTTCAGTTTCATATCGCCGGTTCTAAATCCTCAACATTTAATTGAGTTTATTGAAACCAGAGTGACAAAGCTCGAGTCGAGTACCATAGGATCCACAACTATAAGAAACCCATTGCAAACAATTCATGCCTTTGATGCACAAAAATATCAAAATTCACGTCAATTGCACCTCTATAAGGCTTCAAGATTGATCGAACTTGAATCAATTGTTGGAACGATCGATGACGAGCGATAATTTTAAAGAAATTTGAATTTGACGAATTTTCTATCCGATCGTTGACAAAGTCATCCGGGCGACCTCGGATGACGAAAATGATCATGCTGGTGCGTCCGGGACATCAAATTTAGCTAGGAAGGACACCCATTTTGATATGATCTCGTGGCGGAAATACGCGAATCAAGGGATTTTTGAATAATTGATCCCTCCCAATGCTTCGCCTCTTCTTTCCAATCGCGAGCCAGCCCCAAACTCCCTCTTCCGCGCCTTCCTCTCTCGAGCACTTATTCGGTATGAAATCCGTACCGACGCCACCCAATCATTTTGCGCCACATGATTAACATATTTTTTTTAAAAATTATAAATTTTTAAAGTGGGCCTACTTTCATGCAATTATTAAGAGTGGGAATGATTCTTATTAGGTGGCTACGGTCATCTTATGTAATAATTTTTATCCATGAACCTTTCTCTTCACGTGACAAACGCCTCTTTCTCCGCGACAATCTCTATACGAGGGAAAAAAATTATGTACATAAGACGTATGCAGAGGTGTGTATATCTGTAACATACAGATAGGTCACAGGAGGATATTCAGAGGTTATAACTGCGTTATAGTCCCCAATAACCTCCTGAATAACCTATCTATATATTAAAATATTACAGAAGAGGTATAAAAGCTCAAATATTTACAGACGTACTCAGTCTTGTACGCAAATTTTTTCACTCCCCCAGATCCTCCTTGCCGAGAGCCTCGACTGCTTCGCTCCATCCTCCTTCCCGAGAGCCTCGACTACCCTCGATCTCTAGTGGCAAGACCCCCTGATTTTCATCTCGTTCGGCTCCCTCCCGAAGGTCTCTGGGTCGTACACAGAGCTTCCTCACTCGGCTCCCTAGCCGAACTCCCCTTCCTCTCTCGAAAACTCTCGGATCCGGCTACCCCTTTTCCAATTGATTTGCTTAGGTAATTTTAAGTTTGCTCATTTTTCTTCCTGATCCTTCAAAGATGGCCTAGCTGGCTTCGACATTTCAAGGTAAGCTAGCCTCTCCTTTTGTCTTTACTTTGGTGGGTGAAGCATCTTTGGGATTCTTTGCTCAAGATACTTATCGTGGGTAGGATATTAAACATCTATTTGATTACGAAAAACTGGTTGCGTCATTATTTTGTGGAGAAAAATCTTGCCCCTCTGTCTTTTTAAAATTCTTTGGAGAATCCGAATGCAAATCAGAATCTCGAGGCAATCATTGTATTTTAGTTACTCTATGCTTATTCTCTGATTTTACAGAGGAAGGGGGGGTTCTTCTCACCCTTACATTCATAAAATGTTTCTTAAGTAGTTGGTCATCTTTTAGGGATAGCCAGCTGCTGCATGGAATGAATTAGGTGTGTTGCTCCTCAAGATTCTCATTCCCTGCGCTGCTATTAAAAAAAGCCTGTGCAACGTTTCTGTTACTCGTTTGAATACTGAAAATGACATTGGGATCCATGGCAAACTATATTCTTATGTGAGCCCTTGAGGAATTTTTTTTCTGGAGAATGGAATTGTTCTGATGTTCAAACTTCCAAACCCAATAGATGCATTTTCATCTTCTTCAACAAGCCTTGAGAGCTTAAACATACATAAACTGTTCTCTTTTAGGGGTATTTACATACATACCACTCAATTCTTTAATATTCACATATGTAACACCTAAAGATTTGATTCTTGTATTTAGTGACATTTACATACATACCACGGAATTCTTATACATTTGCATATCTTACACCTAAACTTCCAAATTTTATTTTATGTCACCTAACCTATGCATGAGGGGATACACTTCATCTCTTTAAAATTAAAATGGTGGCACTTTTGGATGTATTATGAAAGGTTTGGATGGTGTAAATGCAACATTTGAGTTTTAAGGATTGGGTGTATAAATACATAAGAATGCGGGCTATGTATGTAGTATGTAGTCGTCGCATTGGTTCGGTCTCCTTCCTGTTTCGATTTGTCTGCGATGCAATTTGAAAAGGATATCTTCTGAATTGGAGGAAAGGATACCCTGGTTGATTCTTGGATTGTCGGGCTGCATTTTCTTTGGGTCTTTTCATCGACGGTTTTAGATGCAGTTTTGAGGGCCGAGACACCTTTCACCTCTTTGCCATTTCAGGTGAATCGTTCCCTCTCCTCTCTCACCCCATTTTTCTTTTTTTGTCCTTGCTTCTTAGTTTGATTTTAGTTACTTATGTCTGAAACTTAAGCGCGCATATATAGCTGCGGCTATATATGAACCATCAAATAATGTCATAAGTTGGACGGTCTTTTTTTGGGTTTTAGGCATTGATGATAAAGACATTCGATGATAGAGCGGAATAATGTTTCATCCTACGACATCGGGACTCGACTCAGAGACCCGATGAAATGTAGGATGACAATATTATTCATCGACACCAGACTAGCAAGACACCCTTGCCTTCTTAGGTTGTTGGCGGTCCTAGCCGGACGGTGCGATCGAATTGTGGACAATCATATTTTGTAAAAATGATAAGAATGGATACGCTATTTACAAAAGTATTTTGATTAAAAAAAAGATATTACTTTCTCTTATATGCATGCCAAAATATAAATTTTAAGTAATATAATTTGATTGTCCACTTGTCAATCATTGGCACTGGGCTATGGAGCATCCTCCTAAGTTGGTATTATAGGAAACCCTTCTAGTTGAATGTCGGGCTCTATATATATGGGTGATCAATAGTTGTCTTCGGAGTCCCTCGAGAATACCTAAATCTGAGTCTACCCCGACCCGAATGCTTACAGTTTTCTTTTTTTTTTCTCGGATTTTTTGTGTGTTTCTTATGGTTTTATTTGGATCTTTGTAGATCACTCGTGATTTCCTTCGAATTTTCTTCGTAATTCTAATGATTTTCTCACGGGTCATTTGTGGCTTTCCTCAAGATTTTCAGGTGATATTTTTTTTGCTATTCAGTCCCATTTGTATAAATATATTCTTTCCACCTGCAAAATTTTTCTTTGAACCGTTTACTTTCACCTGCGACACTGGCCTAATTTACAGGAATGGTAGACCCGTCAGGTATGCATGTTTGTTTTATATTTACATCATCTTACTTTCTTTATTGTACACTTTACTGCCTTATGTTACTTGCCGTTCATTTTACTGCATATACATATAATTCATGCTTGGGATGTTACTGTTTATTATTTACTGCGCTTCGTAGCATGTTTCCTTTTTTTTATTCATGCTACTTCTATAGACTTGTAGGGACCTTTATGATAGAGGACATTAGGACACTTGGTTTAGGAGGCACCATATAGCGAGCCACTGGCGTAACAATTGTATATTTATTCACACCAAAACCCAGAACCTATGATCGATATGTTAAGGAGCTTGGAGTAGCCTTTCCAGGAAGCGAAACGTGGAAGCAAGCGGAAGAAGGACGACGATCGACGCCACAACAGCGAAGCGAAAGACGATCTTCAGTGGAATCTTCATTGAATAAATAACAAACCCATAGAACTTTGAGGTAGTCCGCTTGGTGCGACATAAATTCTCACTTTCGTTGTAGGCTTTTGCACGACCTTATCGTGCATTGTAAATCCTAATTCTCTTTAGGATTTCGAGGTCGTTGTTTGGTACAACGAAAATTCTCCCATCTTTCTATGCTATTTGCATGATTGAATATCGTGCGAATATAAGTCCTAAATTCTATAATAAAATTGACAGAATTGAAACACTAAATAACATCTTTTCAAAATTAAAGCCAAATACTAGGATAGTTGGGAAGTTATCAGGGTTTTCTTCGGATCTGTGACATCCCCAACCTTTTATTCATTTGACTCCTGAAAACAATTATTCCTATTTTGAGCTATTCCCTTTTGATTTTCTTATGTTCAATCTTGAAAATTTAAACTTTGCAATCTTGAAGGCAAAACCACTAGTATCGATAGTCTTCTTAGGTGATTTCGATTGCTTGAGATGTAATTAATTATAAGGGCTTGCCTCTATAGGGAAATTAATAACCCAACTTAATATAAACTCTATTTAATCTCCCGTATTAGATAGGAGAACTTATCGGGTTATAAAAGAAGTTTTGCAGACCAAATGAATGTCACAAATTCTTTAGTTTATATGGGTAAGTCTACCGACAAGTGATATGTATATCCTTCGGGATAATATGTTACTTGTGGTACCGTGCTCAACCATCTAAACTATCAAATATGTGAGGTCCATTCAATCTCACTTTTTTAAATTAAAATAATATCATTTTCCAAAATTATTGTCATATATAAATTAAATTGAAACATTGTTTTCCAAAATTAAAAAAAATACTATTTTATAAAGTTATAATTACATATATATTTTCATAATTAAACTAAATTAAATCCATAAATATAGAACCCGAGACATCCACGTTTATTCGGCCGGCAATTTTGTGTTCTTAACTTTGGGAGAGGTTGGGAATAACATATTTCTTTTGTAGAATTTGTTTAAAATAACAGGTTCCAGGCTATCATTAGGATGACTCCATATGAGGCTTTGTATGGAAGGAAGTGCAGAACACTTTTATGTTGGGATGAAACAGGTGAGCGAAAGCTCATTGGAGGTGACTTGGTTGGTGATGCTATTGAGATGATTAGACTATTCATGGACTGGCTCAAGGTAATGTCAGATAGACAAAGGAAATATTATGATGCTAAATATAGGCTAGTGGACTTTGAACTTGAAGAATTTGTCTTTATTATGGTCAGTCTTTTGAACGGTGTACAAAGATTTGGACGGGAAAATTGAGCCCCAGATATGTAGGTTCATATGATGTTGTGAAGAGGATTGGGAAGTTAACTTACAAATTGACCTTAACATCTCACATGTAAGGATTGCATAATATTTCTATATTTCTTCACTAAAAAATCATATTCTAGATGAGTCAACTAGGGTAATAGCGGACTCATTGATATTCAGTCTGATTTGACTTATGTTGCGGAGCCTGAAAGAATATTGGATTATGATGTGAAGAAACTTTATAATAGGGAGATTTCATTTGTGAAGATTTTAAGGAAGCACAGATCAGAGAAGAATGCTACTTGGGAGAAAGTTTCTGATGTACAAGAAAGATATTCATAACTTTTTATTTGAAGTATGTTTGTTTTTATAATACTTTTCAAATTTTCATGAAGAAATTTTTATAAAGATTGTAATAAATGAATTAAGCAAATAAATATAATAAAATATAATATTAATAATGATAAATCGAATAGACTCTAAGAATAAGCATCCCTTCAGTCACGACTTAAGAGTTGTCTTCCCCCTTTCGAACCAACATAACCAAGAGACGAAAAGCAAATCTGCAGAAGGTAAAGGAAGAAAAGAAGAGGGAAAGAAGAAGAGAAGGAAGCCATCATATGTGTGTAGGAGACGCTGCCGAGCCCGACTCGATCGATCGAGTAGGAAGGAAGTTGGTGGAGCGACTTCGACGCTGTGCTCGCGTGCTTGCTGTGTGCTAGGTTGTCGAACACTAGTTGAAGGAGATCAAAGGAAGAAGAGAAAGGCTCATGTGTGCAGTGAGTCGAGCCTACATCATGTATGAAGGAGATGGTGATAAAGGCTTCTTGTGCGAGTGTTATGAGAGGAAGGGCACTGTTGGTGCAAAGGAGAAAGAGAATGGTGGTCGCAGCTCTTGTGCGAGAAGAGCATTCCTGTGGGAAGAATAATGACCGAAGGAGGGAGCTTTCATGGTATTGTGCATGAAGCTAGGGCAGCAGATCGAAAATGTAAAGGTATATTTAAGATTTTAAAAAAATTAATTTTTATATATTGCTATACAAATACATACATGTGTATATGTGTGTGTGCGTGTGAGTTTAATTAAATAACATGTTAATTAAAAAAATACTTGAAATATGATAGAAGTTAAGTCACAAATGGGAGGGTGTAAGGTGAAGCAAACTTCTATTACGAGGGAAGAGAAAGAGCCGTAGGCGTGAAGTGGAGAACAAAAGCCTAGCAAAACACTAATTTGGGATTTAAGGTAATTTTGTGTTAGAATTATTTATTTGAGTTTTATATGCTTTAAAGTAATATATATTTGATATGTTAATGTGAAAAAAAATTGTTAAGTCAGGTAGGGAGGCTTGTAGGAAAATTTTTGCAAGGGAGTAGATCGATCTGAAAGCCTATAAGGTAGATGTTAAAGCCTATATTATTATTAGAATTAATAATATAATTAGTTAAATTAATGTTATTAAAATTTTTTATTTATTTAGAAAGTGTGGAAAAAGGTTGTTCGGATTTGAGATTGGTAAAAGATTTACGATATAGTGCAGTGAAGGGATAACTATTGAAGAGGTCATTTGAGGCTTCATGTGAATAATTATTTTTTTTATATGTATTAAATTAAATTTTATTAAATAAAATTTTTGTAATGCTTTAGGCAGTTATTTTTATGATTGTATACCATGTTGTAAGCTTAAGAGTTAAAATAAGTGAATGATAAAAAAAAAAAAATGATTGTTCAATGTCTTTAAAATGGGGTAATTTAAAGGAAATCAAATGTAAAAGTTATACAAGATTACCCCCAAATGATACTGGTAGGGGATGCGTGTACTCTTGCACGATAAAAGAAATAGTAAATGTGTATCTCCGGGTGTAAATTTTCAAGGTACATACGGGTACAATTTTGAGAATACTTATAGCATTGACAGCAATCCTAATAGGACTCTTAAAGAGATTAAGAAATGTAAATACTTAAATTGAAACAAGAAAATAAAAAATTAAAGTGAAAGTTTACTATTTTATAAAGCAACGAACCACATTTATTTTGATCATTTATGCATAGCATTTGCATATAAATTTAATGCATATTAAGAATGTAATTGTTCGCTAAGTCAAACTTACTAGCAAAATTAATGGTTTCTTTCACAAAAAGAAAAACTGTAAGTTGATATATTTGGTAGGATAGACATAGTTCACAGGAGGTGGACTACAACTGATAAATATCATGTTATGATATGTTTGTAGTTTCTTTTGCACTGTTTTCTTTTAGATTGTGACATACTATTTATTGCTGGTTTGAGATGTTGCCTACATACTATGTTGTTTATGGATATTTTGATTTTTGTATGTTGCATTTTGTGGATTATTAGTGACTCTTTTATATATTGAAATTTTTTGAAAAATATTTGGAAAAGAAATGAAGTGTTAATACCGCCCGACCGCATTTCTAGAATTAGTTAATTCTAAGCTATCATGTCGGGTTGTGACAATAAGTACTATTTATATGAATTAACTTAGTGATTTTTTTTTACTTATTCAAAACTTTTGTGAGTAACCATTTTATTTATATATATTGAATTATGAGTCAGTTTGACTTTTGAACTTTAAATAAACTCCAAATTTTTGCCTCTTTGTTATTTTGTATGAAATCACTACTAAGCATCTTATCCTGAGCTCATTTAACGGGAATTAAGGCATGCCTCAATGCCAGCAGTCCTCTCGTATACTCGATCCCAAGTCTCTCCCATCACGACTACCACCTCTGAGTTCATATGACATTACGAACGTCTAGTCAATAAAGGATGTAGTTAAACTAAAAGTATGTTGCAGTTGGCTTTGCTAGTCATTAAATCTACCCATGAGATGTAGCTTGACCATTTGATATGCCACCACAAGTTGTGGTTGCCATCTTTGCTATTGTAGACGACTCATTCCTAAAAGTAGTCACTTGATGATCAAGTTGGTCAAAGCTCCTTGATTAGCAGCTCCCATAGTGGTTTGAGCTATCGTAGTCAACTGATGAGGCCCAGTTAAGCCAAATTGGAGCTGAGATGGCACCTCTTCTCCGATAAGTGTGTGAATGACTCTAGAAATTTTCTACTCTTCTTGAGTGTTAGCCATTGTAGCAGCCCTGGTTGCTCCACAAGCTTTCTTAGCTAGATCCTCTTTGGTCTTGGCTCCCTTTTTTAAGAATTTTTGCAACTACAAACTTTGATTTGGACTCACACTTAATTCTTCTCTTGCCTCTAGCTAACAATCATTTCCTCATCATATTGCTTAGTTGTTGTTTTCATTTTCTTGATGACTCTTTTCCTTGTCTTTATCCTATGATCGGCTTCCTTTTACATCACTAGTCACCTCTAGTCCTTGGGTCATATGGAGCCTCTTTTGATCCACTTGTGTACTTATATTATGGTCCTCTTAGATACTCATTATGTCCTTTTAGGCTCTACCTGACTTACCTCTTTCATCTCCTTTTAAGCTTTGGTATGACTCTGTGTTTTTGGCAGCATTTGAAATTCTTAAAACATTTCTATAGATTTTGAGAAGCCTCTACTCATCATTGTCAATCAATTACCCTCTCACGTACATTACCCATGATATGAAATCATAGAGTGGAACCAATGCATGACGATTCTAGCATGATTTGGAATCAACCCCACATCTCACTACGATCATATTGTGATATCCAATTGATTCAAACATAATGATGTGGGATTGATAGAATTTTCTAAGCTTTTTTTATAAGTATGCAGAAATCTAGAGCTTTCTTATGAGAGCGAAGGAAAGAATATTCTTAGATGATGTTAAGATCGAAGAGCAGAGATTTATCATGAAATTGATTATCAAAATAATTATTAGAATTTTCATTTATTATTCATTTTCTTAAATTTTCTTCCATATTTCTTATTATTTTTTCATCCTGAAGATCGAATTCCAGCAAATAATAATGAGGTGATTCTCTGTTTATAACCAAACTGAGAGGAGAACAACAACTGAATAATATGGTTCCATTCTGTAGATAGCTTCAGTTGAGCACTGCAGGTGCAGGACGGTTAACTTGTTGAATTTTCTTTTTTTTGGCTGGTGGGTATGGATGGAGAGAGGAAGAGAGATGATTTGTGGCATATTTCTTGATTCTTTAGAGTTTATTAGAACTTTCTCTCTCCTAATCTTCTTGTGGCTTTATTATTTACTTGTTCTTTAGTTTTAATTTTTTTTAATCCAAAATCTCCTTAAATCGTGTCTGCAAGCTCTAATTTTATGACTCAAATTTTGGAGTTAGTTTTTACTTAGAACTTTAAATAAACTTCAAATTTAGGACTCATGCTATTTTGGATGGAAAATTTTGTCCAAATCTTTTCTTTTGGATCCGTTTAGCAAGAATTGAGGTCCCACCTTTATGTAATATTGCTTAAATCTATTTTTATTTAGACGAATTTACAAACATGTCACACAGTATTTTTGTTTTTACATATCGCACACCTCAACAACAACAACAACAACAAACCTTTATCCTACTAGTGGGGCCGGCTACATGAATCTTTTTTCTCCATTGTGTCCTATTGAGTGTCATTTTTTCATTTAGTTCTAAAAATAAAGATCATTTTTTATAAAATATGCCCAAGTTTTTTTAGGTCTCTCTCTACTTTTCTTAACATAAGTCGAATCTAAAACATCTACTCTCCTAACAAGATCATCAGATGATCGATGTTTAATGTGACCAAACCCTCTAAGACGATTCCCTCTGATTTTGTCCACCATTGGAGCTACACAAACCCTATCACCAATATATTAATTTCGCATTTTATCTCCAAGTATCAAGCCACTCATCCACCTAAGTATTCTCATCTCAGCAACACTAAACTTTTATATTTACACATGGCGCACTCAAATTTTTAATATCACATAAAAAATAAAATTATTATTACTTCTTAAAATTGAACTTCACTTTTTCATCGATAGGTTTAAAGTACCAAAGTGTTGTGTAAATATGAAATGGTAGGTGTGAGATATGTAAATACATAAGAATTGTGTCCTGATATATAAATTTTTTCTTTTATTTATTTACTTTATTCAGTTCCAATCGAGCTGGATTTTTGGATTTCTTGGGCCTTCCTGACTACAAGCCCTTCTTCAAAATTCTGTTCATTGTATTGATTGCAGTCATTTGCAGCTCTGAAACTGAATCGTGGATTATAAATTGCTTTTACACCCCCGAGACTATTACCATATAGTTGTTTTTCTTACAATCATTGTTATCTTCTTTTATGATTTCCTCTGCTTCCTTCTCCATTTTGCACTCTAACCCTTATGCAGTTGGATGCTGCTTATAATAAACTCACTACCAAACGACCTTGTGGACCTAGCAAGACATCGATTCGTGGAGCAAAGTATGATCTGGCAAAGAACGATCCCTCGAAAGAGCCATTTGAGAGTCTTCCTGATTATGCATTCGATGACATTGCTGATTGGGAAAGAAAACTCATCCAAAATTGCGTTCAAGAACTCCTCCAAAGTTACAAGAAATGGTATTCTAACCTTAATACTTCTTTGATTTGATACAATCTTTCTTCCTCCATCAAGACTGCTTTTTAGTTCTATTTTTGAAAGCTATGTGTTCAATTGTGTCATGTTTTTTTGATATAATTTATCTTCTGTAAAAGCTATCAGTGATTGCTGTTGACTCTTATGAGTTATTGTTTGATTGGAGGTTTAAATCTGCCTGAATAATTTTCTGTGAAATATAGTGACAGCTCGACATAAACAGGCAGTGCATCTTGGAGTTTCTGCATTTCAAATATTTTTTGAAAGATTTACATGCATACTGCTCAACTCTTATGTAATTACATATCTAACACCTAATGATACTGGAGCTAGTTAGGAAATCAGCGGAAATGCTAAGCAACTGTTATTAGCATTGAATTAGGGTTACAACACGACACAAACAGAAAAGGAAATTACAATAACAAACCTCTCTCCGGCTAGGACTGGAAGAGAAGATCTCAGGACGGTGGTTGCGTCGGTCAAGCGGCAAGTTGTAAGGGGAAGGTTGAGGGCTGTCGTGTCTGCTGGAATAGTGGCTGGTGGCTGGTTTGGGGATTGGGAGAATGGTGCAGTAGGGAAAAGTGCAGGGAAGGGTGAATGATGGGGGAATGAGCCGGACAGCAAGGAGAACTGCTGTAGGTGGCTGGCAGGATGCAGGTGGGTGGACGGGAAGGCTGGACAACAAGACCAGCAGCAGGGGGAATAGGAAACGGCGGCTGGAAGATGGTAGGGAGGGCTGGACAGAAGGCTACGACTACGAGGAGGTGGCGACAGAGGGGCTGGAAGATGTGTGTAGGCCGGTGGTTAAGGGAAAAAGGGAGGAGAAGAATTGGGGAAGAGGACAGAGGAAGATACAGCACAACCTCGGAGTAGGATACACCACCCGTTGTGAATTACAGCTCTAGCAGGGAGAGAACACTCCAAGAGGAATTCTGAAACAAACACAAGCAAAAACTAACCATAATTCCAGATAACAACACTTAAAAGACTTTAATAGGGAAATAATAGAGAAGGTAGGTTCCCATAGGGAAATAATAGAAAAGGAAAGGAATAGAGGGGTGTTGAGAAAATTAGGGCGAAGAAAACATTAATCAACACAAATCCAGAAGAACACAGAGATTTAACGAGGTTCGGCAAAGATGCCTACGTCCTCGGGAGCAGAGCGGCGAGTTCCTTTCAATATTCAGAAAAGAGGTTACAGAATAGAGGGATCCCTCCTGGGGTTACTAACATGCCTATTTATAACCCCAAGAGTAAACCTAGGCACAATACGTAATTACAACATTACCCCTGTACCGCGGGGCTTTGCCCCTGCACCCCAACCCACATAACTTCCCAATTTGGACAGATTCTTCCGCTCCGTTTCGATCCAGCGTCTGTCCCGATATGGTATATGAGTCATACAATAACAAATCTCCACCTTGGCGAATATCCAGCCATTTAGGAGAAAAATATCTGGGAGTTACACCTGCACCAGTGTGGGTTGAGCCACCATGCTTCTCTAGCAACTGCAAACATTCAACAAGTCCAAGCAATGCAAGAACTTGTTGATAGTAACTGACTTGGTCAACATATCAGCTGCATTTTCATCAGTATGAACCTTCTGCCATATTTTCATCAGTATGAACCTTCTGCAACAGTATCTCCCCAGAAACAATCAACTCTCTGATCTTATGATATCTGACATCAATGTGCTTGGTTCTCGCATAGTACACCTGGTTCTTAGCCAGATAAATAACACTCTGACTGTCACAATGCAACTGAACTCCACCTTGCTCAATGCCCAGTTCCTTTACTAGCCCAGCAAGCCATAAGGCTTCTTTAGCAGCTTCAGCTACTGCCATATACTCTGCTTCAGTAGTAGATAATGCCACAATAGACTGAATTGTTGATTGCCAACATATAGGCCCTCCACCAAGAGTAAACACATACCCAGTTTTAGACCTTCTGCCATCCAAATCACCTGCATAGTCTGAATCAACATACCCCACAACTGAAGGATCATTCTTCTGACTGCCAAAAATAAGTCCATGTCCTACAGTACCCTTCAGATACCTGAAAATCCACTCGACTGATTCCCAATGTCGCCTTCCAAGTTTAGTCATGTATTTGCAGACTTGACTAAGAGCATGAGCCAAATTAGGATGAGTACATACCATAGCATACAACAAGCAGCCAACTGCAATGACATATGGAACCTTTGCCATGTCTTCCATTTCTGTATTTTTCTTAGAACATTGTTCTGAAGAAAGCTTAAAATGATTTGCCAAAGGAGTGCTCACAGGCTTTGCATTGCTCATCTCAAACCTTTCCAGCACTTTCTCAACATAGCCTCGTTGAGATAAACATAATCGTCTTGAGCCTCTGTCTCGATGAATCTCCATTCCAAGAATCTTCTTCGTAGGACCCAAGTCTTTCATGTCAAATTCCTGGCTCAATAAAGCTTTCAAACCACGAACATCATTCATATTCTTTGCAGCAATCAGAATATCATCAACATACAGTAACAGAAAAACCATAGAACCATCATCAAGGCTTTTTTACATAAACACAACAATCATACTCACATCGCCTGTAGCTAATCTGAATCATGTAGGAGTCAAACCGCTTGTACCATTGTCTTGGAGACTGTTTCAACCCATATAACGATTTCTTTAACCTGCAAACCAGATGCTCCTGTCCAGGCTGAGTGAACCCTTCACTGCTCCATGTAAATCTGTGTTCCTCCAAATCACCATGCAAGAAAACAGTTTTAACATCCATCTGCTCCAAATGCAAATCCCAAATAGCTACTAATGCAAGCACTGCCCTGATTGAAGTATGTCTGATCACAAGAGAAAAGATTTCATCATAATTTATCCCCTTCTGCTGCGAAAATCTCTTTGCAACTAGTCGAGCATTGAACTTTTCCCCTTCTTTTTCTGATACTGCTGGTTTCCTTTTGTAGACCCATTTGCACACAATGTCTTCTTTCCCTCTGGAAGCTGAACTAGCTCCCAAGTGCGGTTTTTCTGCAAAGACTCCATCTCCTCAACCATTGCACCCATCCATTTTTCTTTCTCCTGGCTAGTGATAGCTCCTTGAAAAGTGGCTGGATCATCGCTGCTGATGAGAAGTGCACATGAGACTAAGTCTTCATAACCCAATCTGCTAGGAGGTCTTACATTGGTGCGTCTCTGTCTATCTCTGACTAGGTTGTAATTCTGCAGATCATCTGGAATAAAATCACCAAGTGTTGGAGTTGAACTTTCACCTCTCTCAGAAGCTACTGACTGTTGTTCTAAATCCATCTGCACTGCATCTGAACTGGAATTCTTCTCTGACACCTTTTCTTGATTTTGCTGTAACATAAACTGCTCATCAAAAAC